CCCGACGTCGAATTCGGTTGGCGGTATAGACTGGAATGCTGTTTTGTATCCAAAAATTGCAATCGGGGCCCTGTGATCAGTGAGGTGTGTGAATTTACGACCGTAGATCAACTAATGAAAACTCTTCACTGCGAGAATGATAGTCAGGAATTCCTTTTCAACTTGACTTTAGTTGTGCTCTGTTACAGGTAACGATCTGGCATCATGTGAAATGGCCTTCTGTGGTCCAGTGGGATATTTGTGAGAGATGACTGCGTCAATTCCGCTGCGATTACCACGATAGTATCAGCGGCTGGGTGGAAATTTGTCAGAAGTAGGTCTGAGTCAAGTATTGACTTGACATAACGGTAGGCGTTCTTGCGCTCCGTTGACCACGCCCATGGTTAGTATTTGGATAGAAGTTGGTTCATGGGGGCTCGGACGCGGCGTATATCAAGAAAAAATGCACCGTAGAGACTTGGGAGGCTCAAGAATGATCTGAGTGTCGCCAAATCCTTTGGTGGTGGCCTTAATGTTCTCTGGATCTCGTTGGCGTCTATTTTTGTCCAGAATGAAACCAAGATACATTATAGAGTTTTTGGTAAATAAGTACAGCANAGCAAAGAGGTACCGTAATCGAGAGGTGCATAAATCAGACTTCTCAATTCCTGACTTGTGCAGGCGCTAAATTTGTAGCATAATCATGGAAATTTGTCCACCATGACATCAACCCAGAAGAAACAACCACATCGAAGCGAGATGATGATTAAATTCCGCGGCGGCTCAAAGAGGCTGAAAAGAGACAATATTGAGGATATTCCGGGCGGACTACCCGCAATTTTCGTATGGAGCCGTTCGTAAAATAATGGCTAACGACAAAAGCATAAGTAGACAATAATACAGATATGTAGTGTCTGATGTGAGGTAATACCATATTTAATCTAGTGAATGAGGTCGAAACGGTAGGCATTGATGGAAGAAATACGACGAAAGCCACGGTATTGCACGACTTCGAGGAATCCCCGCATTTAGATCATGAACTGACAAAAGATTACCGGATACGCATATCTGACGTTGGCGAGATATTATTCGTGAACCGCAATCTGTAAAATTCTCAATTAAAAGATCATTTCAGAATGAGTATTTAAAAGCTTTGCGTTCTGATGTTCCAGACCGTAATATCTGTTACTGTGCAATGTTCAGTGCACTCTTTCTTTTCACGTATTCTTATGATTGAGAATTTGATCGATGGTTTCGTGCCTCTCGGTGTGGTTCCATGCGTCTGACATCAAATCGATGTCGTTCTGCAAGGGTGTATTATTGTTCAACGTAAAGTTTGATCATCACTTTTCTGGATCAAGCTGTTATGTACCCAGGCCGGCTGATTAACAAATAAAGGAGAAGCCATAAACAAGGATGTCAGTGTTGAATGGTGACACTGTTGCTATAAGCGCTTGTGTTACGTTGTCGTTCCACAATCTAATGCATAGCCACTTTGGGGTAATTATTCCTGGTGATAATATTCTTTATATCATTTTTAAATCTTTGTAACCAAGTTTATTTTTCTAACTATTCTTTTCTATCTATTTTGAAGCGGTACAACCAAAAATTCCTTTTTCAATCAAACTAAGAAAATTATGTTACACTTTGCGGCGATGGATACTCAACGCGCCAGTTTTAATGCAGTTTATCAGAAGAATTTCAGAGGGTTACAGTGTGTACTTCTACCTCCGTTTAGCACAAGTTGTAATGGTGTTGCAACACTAGTTAAAAATCCACCACCGCCGTCGAACTGTGTCAGTTAGCAGCTTTGCAATCATCTATCTTACTACTACTGCTACTACTACTTTTGGTAGTGGTTAAAGATTTCATTCTTTCGTTTGTCATTCATAAACGTTAGCAGTAGAAGAAAAAAGCAAGAAAACGGCTATGGCTAGTTTTTGTTAGTACTATATAAAAATAACTTCAAATTAACCGTTTTATTGTGCTATCTGGAGAAAAATGATTGTGGACATAATTTGGTACTCACCTGCAACTCAACATCCTCAAAAAAGCGATCGTAATTCGGTCGACCATTGATGACGGAGAAAATCACCTCACCATCGTACATCGGCTGCAATGTCGAGTATTCCTCACGACAGATCACCTCATCCGGTCGGGTAAATGTGGGTACCACATTGTATGGCATGCCGAAGTAGGTGTAACAGTTGCTGGAAAAATATGCCCAGGGAGTCCAGTCGGATTTGTCATCGAATCGTTTGTAAATGACCATTGCATGAGGTCGTGGTGAACGGAATTGCAAGTAGACATAATTTACGTGAAATTGCGTACCTGAGGCAAAAGATATGCACAGAAAACCGGATGCTTACTCTAGTAGGCAGATTCGATATAATCTTAATCAATACATCACTCTAGTGATGCTACTTACAATTAACAAGTAGTTAAGATTTGAACTCTGCTCAAACTGCGCGTTTTAAACCACTTACCATCAAAACTGCTTTTTAGTTTGATATAAACAGACATCTCTTACAGCTCCTTCTCTTCGTATAGGGCAAAACTGGGGAACTTCTGAGTGAATCGTTAGCCAAAATTAAGCAGTATACGTGTCACAATGAATGCAGTGTAGGCGGCAGCGCCATCCGGAAGCACACATTTAGCCTTTATGAATGTAGTTTGATACTCACATTTGTAACTTTGCCGCGGTTTTCAACACCTCAATTTTGTTTAAATTGGGTGATCTGAGACCGAAGAAATATAGATCGGATCAGTCATCAGCTAAGCGTCTGTCATTCGCCTCACTCGCCTCCTTAAATCACATGAATCGTATCGATGTATCCCTTCATTTATCCCCTCTTTCGTTAATGGTTTTGCGTTCTAAAGTTTCTTTATGGGTAAATACTGCATTGTCAAGTTATTCAAATGTTTTGATCAATTTCAATGATGCTTATTGAACCGCTGGAACAAATGTTGAATTCCCATCATTGTAATGAAAATTTGAGGGTAGAGACATCGCCGTAGGACGACTGATTGTCTAACTGGGGGTTCGCATGCTTCTCCAATACATGTTCATCTATCTTGGTTTCCTAAACCATAAAACCAACTTCCATGACTGTGGAAAGTACCACTACTACCAAACGTATTCCGTGAGTTGCATGTAGTGGAACTAACCTACTACAAGCAACCTCAAATAATACTTGAAGCATTCTCGTTTCACCCCGACGTTCTTAGAATGCACCATCATGTTAAGAATATTCTATCTTTTGGTAACGTTATCGAGACATATTTTTATTTCAGATTAACATGTACACTGATTACGAGATTTCGTTGATCACTCCGAATAATGCCCAATCTGAAGTTTGCACTAAATCAACAGCGAAACAAGAAACGGAGCAGTATCACACCCCCGCAGGCAGAGAGTAAGTACATGGTAGACCCTGACAGCATTACAATCATCAGATTTGGTGACAACTCTCTCCTTAGATCCCTTTCTACTAGAGTTTCATACCACTGATGCTAGCCGGTAGATAAAAAGGGGGGCTCCGGTATCTTATTCAGACGATACCTATTTACAGGCACGCAAGTCACTCAGTGAGTACAAGGTACATTGCATATGAATCAACAATCCGTTTCATCCTTCTTAGTTCTTTGTGACTTTATCCAACCTTTACATAGCAACTCCACGAAATTTGTTACACATACTTAGATCATACAATTCTCCATAACATACATGCACTGATAGCTTGGGTAATACCATAAGTTAATCCTCTTTTGAACATATGAAATAGGCCTCGAGAATACTAACATTGGAGGTGTTTGGCGGTATCCGTCCACCTTGAAAATTTCCATGATTCTGGATGTTCAAAAACCGATAGTAAATAAGGAACTGTTTTTCGGCCAATAGCTGATAAATCTCTCATGAAACATGAGATATTGCTTTATTCGGTAAACCAATTAATTTTCAGATATCGCATGAAAAACCATGTCTAAATATCTAAAATTTAATAGCATTCAAGGGATCATACAAATAATATCTTTTTATAAAAGCAGCACCTCTGTTAAAGTATCATTTTGAAAACCAGACTCATTATCCCAATGGTTTATTTTAAGACGATATTGCCCTTCAAAACAAGCGTTACCTTGCTACACACGCTTGTGGAAAGCTGAATAACCTCTGATCATCGTCATTCTATCGTGTTAATAGAACAGATTCAAGGAATGTGCACATATGCCCTAATTAGGCATACAAAACATGAATCCACACTCATGATCTTCTGAGTGATAAACGGCACGGTTATTTCCTGTGAATTTAATTGTAATGTCTTACATACGCACACAATAACATAGTAACAAAACTGGTCGTTTCTTTTAAGTGGGCCGCAATACCAACCTACTCTGTACTACCGTCTCCGCACACTTTCTTAGTGGAATTTACATTCAATATCCCCCTCCTGGATCAGTGCCACGCCTGCCCCAGAGGGACCTTATGTGGTTAGCCACTCTCAGTCCCATGGATCAAGTTTGCGGTTATCATGAGTGAACAGTAGGTCCTATTTGTGATGTAGCAAAACCCAACCAACGATGGTCCGTTATTCTCATAATTACCTTATTTGATTCCCTGCGACATGCGTGATCCTACTCAGAATAAGAGAATAACAAGTCTGATGCTAAAACTTAATCTATTGAGAGCAATCGTAAGTTTTTTACTACACATAATGTGTGTTACGGGATAAAAACGAAATCCCCATAGTCAAACAGCGTACCGGAAAAGGGACAGTAGGATTCATAAATGATTCAGTTTATCGATTCTGAGTTTAAAGTGTGCAACGTTGTAAGTTGAAGGAAAGATAGAAAGTGGGAGGGGTTTCTACAGCTGGGTAGTTCAGTAAGAAAGAAAGACTGGAGCAGAGAAGTACATCTGGTGACCGAAATCTGACAAGAACAACTAGATGCAAATGTGCTGGATGGGCTGGCAAAATTTACAGGAAGGGACACTGTCGAGGCAAGTTCCGAAAAAGAAAAAACTAAAGTTATCGTAGAACAGGGCCGGTGAGGCAGCTACCCGACGATGGGCTAGTGACTGCAGGTTAGAAGTTATGGAAGTATCATCGATCAGCCGGATTTCGTTGAACACGATCCAGTAGAGGAAGATAAGAAGTCAAAGCCACACCCCAAAATGACTACAGTATTCAAAAGCAGGACGGATTTGAGCTTTTCCGGTAGAAGAAGGTAGGCTGGGTTGAAGAACTGAGGCGGAATTAAAAACCAACCTTGAGCGCAGCACGAGAAGCAAGCTGACTCATAAAAGGGGGCCAGCATAAAGAAAAACTCATAGGCAATCAAAGAAGGGAAACTGAGTTTGTGAAACATAGTTGAGTGGAATCAAAAGATAAGTGAGGGGGGAATGAACGATGTTTTAGAGAAACTGAAAGAATGGAGGTTTTAGAAACATTGAATGAAACACGTTGACATTTCCCAAAGAGATGTGTTCAAGATCAAAGTGGTACATTAACTGAACTATCGTTACAATGGATGTTGGTTTGGGCATGGCGAGCACTGTAGTAGGACAGGGAGTAGTGGAGGGTGGTGTCATTGGCAAAAGAAGGGATTGGTTCGAGAGTTTTAGAAAGGAGATAATTGATAAATAAAACAAAAAGAGTGGGTGCGAATTTTGAACCTTGGGGCAGCATTTGCAAAGAACGGCTGAGATAGAACCCCATCCACTCGGATGGTTTGCTAAGTGATGAAACTTGATATGCGCACTTCGTGAGCCAGGGGGAACCATAACATGAGCGTTTTCCATAATAGACCCATGTATCAAACTCGGTCGAAGGTCTTTAAGATATCAAAGTACACCAAGTGCTTTCCTCAGTAGTCTGACTGCAGCCACTCAGAATTGTGAGACAGTAGTCAGCAGGTCGACGGTGAACCAATGCTGTGAGAAGTCAAACTAGCAGTCGCCCAGTGGCCACTCACGCTCGAGGAGCGTGCGCAGTTGGTCGGAGATGAGGGTTTTCAGTACTTTCAAAAGAACATATGTGAGAGAAATGGGTCAGTAATTGTCGGGGTTAGAAAAGTTTCCGCGTCTGGGAATGGGAAAAATCACACTGTGTTTCTAAGGCGTCGGAAGAGTAGAAAGTTCGAGGGAAAGACTCAAAAGGCGAGGTAAAATAGAAGCCAGCGCGGGAGCACGCATTTTGAAGACAATTGGTGGAACACCATCAGGATCGGATGGTTTGTTTGCGTTTAGAGAGTGTAATTTTTGACGGATTCTGCTAGTGTTCATGTGAGATAGAACAGGATTGCCATTGAAATAGGAAGAAGGTAGGTTAGTAGGATAATTGGGTCAGGTGAACTTGGTGGCAAACTGGGAAGAAAAAGCCTTAGCTTTCTCTTGTAATTGATATACAAGATCACCAGAGTAATTACAGATAGGGGAAAGTTGGAAGGGCAGAGGTTACGGGAAAATGCTTTGGCAAGGACCCAAAATGTTCAGCTACCGGTGGTCAAAGAGACCAAGGTTTTCCAAAGAAATAAAGCGTTCTTGGTACTCTGAAAGGCATCTGTTTCTATTTTTTTAAGAAGTGATGGGGGACTGGACGAGCGACACCAGCGTCGCGAGGCTGAGCGTTCCGTGCTTACAGCACGATCACATGCGTGGTTAGGCCACTCGGGAGGGGGGCATTGGAATTGCCGGTTTCGGAAAATTGCGGGATAAAAAGATGCACACCTTGAAGAATAACATTGGTGAAGTCGGAAGCAGATTTGAAACGTCCAAAGAGAAACAAAAATCATTCAAAGGATATTAAAATATCGAGAACAGTCCCAGTCGGCTGAGTTATAGCATCAAAACCTGTCTTGAGAGGGGTCTGATCCACTTAATAGAGCAAGAAATAATTCAGTGATGATCCAAGAGGGGGAGTACAAATGTATCATAATAAAGAAGGGATCGAAGTGAGGGTGTGGACATGATTGGCAGCTCAATCAAGGACGAATGTGGGTTCAGGTTGTTGATCAAAGCGACATGTTCGGCCTCACACCCGAAAGAAGAAGTAACAGATGAATATCTCAACCACTCCTGATTATGAACACTGAAATCTCTCAAAATGGTAACATGGAAGTTGGGATCGGTAGTCAACAAATGTTCAATGTTTGAAGATAAAAGCCAAAGATGAAGGAGTCACCACTATTGGGGAACGATATAGAACACAGAAGTAATACTTCAAAGAGGGAAGTCCGAGCTTCAACCGCATCAGCAGAAATTCACGGTTGAAAAAGTTAGGATTTGGCATTCTGAAGGCAGGACTGATTAATGGATAAAGACGCAGACACCATGTTTGGGTAGATAGGAGTGTAGTTAAGGACTTAAAGGTAGTGTCTGATAAGGGAAGATTTGTTCCGGTCCAAAAAGGCTACAGGAAAAGAAATTGGTGTACGAAATCAATGTTGTGGCTCAGTCCGCTAATTTTGGTGAGGATGGTGAGTACATGTTTGCATTGTGAGTGCGTAGAGCGAGTGTAAGAGAGGGAGTGTATGTGATTCCGTATAGTCATATTAATGCTGTGAGAAGGAAACCAACTACCATGATCCTGAGATGTGCAGTTGCGTACTACACAAGGTTTCAATAGTTCAGGTATGATAATGAGCTGGGCGACGGCAGAGCTGTCTTCCATCACCACCCTCGTAGGCGACGTAATAAGCAAGGGATTTTCTGTACTTGTCTATCGTGGCTCAATTGCTGTATTGTTTCCCTGTTGTCTTGGTTGGTCTAAGATCTAAATAATCAATCATTTTCTCCGTATGAATGACTTATCTACTGTTTAGATTGAAACTTGAATTTCATTTCCTCACTAATCATGATTGCTGAGCTGAAACATTCCTTTTTTGATATTGATGATCATTTAGGTCTACGAGTTTTTTTTACGGTTTCAGTTAAATTCAAGCCATATAACCGTTTCCATGACAATAATGTATTTGACGAGCAAGACGAAGAAAGTTCCACTGCAATGTGACTAAAACTATCCTTGAATGGAGTGGGCATTACCATTGAAAAGCAGATATACTAAATGTTTCATGAAAAACAATATCTCAAAGGCAGGGAGAAGCGAAAATGCCAGTAATCACGAACCTTCATCTTATGCCGGGATGGTCCAAGCGAACAATCCTCAGAATGGGGAAAACTTTTATGGGCACCTTTAACGGATTTTAATCTTATCACTGAACCTCTCACAAAGCGTCACCTCA